ACTTGGGTATATGTTGTAACTTCACTAGGGTTTAGGGGAAGGAGAAGAGTCTGAATCGTAAGGGGACGAGGAAGGGAAAGGGAAGGAGGTAGGGTCTGAATCACAAGGGAAGGGGAAGGGTTTGCAATCATTTTAGGTGTTTGCTACTATTTATTGTAGGGCAAATGACACCTTGTACCCCAGTTTTTTTTTGTATTCTCAATTTATATATTAAATTTTTTTTGTATTGTCAAATTTTTTTGCTTATGAATAACACCGATTTATATGATGATGCTATACAAACCAATCCTATAGTATTGGTGCAAGTACAAAGTGAAGCCGCTCCAAGAGTGAAAAAATCGTAAAGGAGAAAGAACTTTTTCTCTAGAAGAAGACAAATTAATTATGTCTGCGAGGTTTAACATGAGTAAAGATGTAATTACTGAGAATGAACAACAAGGTGGTGGTTCCTGACATAAAATGTTGAAATGCTTAGAACTTCAACGAGGCAATCAAGAAGAGCGTTCACAAACTTCTATTAAAAGTCATTGGACTGATATAAATGCAAAATGCGATAAATTTGTTGGTTTTTATATTCAAATTGAAAGACTACAACAAATTGGACACACTGAACAAGATAATGTAATTATTGAGCTTTTTTAGATAGACACTATTATGATTTGATATTTGAACTATTGACTGAATGATTTCATATGTTTTTTCAGATTAATGAAACAAAATAAATGTTTGCTAAGATCATTTCAATACGAGCATTGTTGGAATATATTGAAAATGGAGTGAAATGGACTGATAATCTCACCAACAATAAAAGAGCAAAAACTCATTCAACTGGTAGTTTTGCTAAATTAACTCATGTTGAATCTTGCTATTCAACTCCAAATTTAAGGGATGACACTGAACCCTTGTCCACTCCTAACCTCGATAGGTTATTGGATAGAAAGGCTTCGAAGAAACAACTTAAAAACAAAGAGAAGCAAACCGATGTTGAAGCATTACGAGATTATCACCACTGGAATCAAAGAATGGAAGTGGAACGATAAAAAATTGAGCGACACGACAAAATTTATGCTCAAGAGGAGATAACATCGAAGACAGTTAAAAATTGAATAAAGGAAGGTGCAAAAGAATAAAATGAAAATCATGGAAATTGACAATACTGGAATAGACCCAATTTTTGCAACATATTATAATAACCTGAAGATAAAAATTATGAAAAAGCGGAGTTTTAATGTTTAGTCATTATTTATTAAGTTGCTATTATTTTTTAATATTCAGTCATTATTTATTATGTTGCTATTATTTCTGAAAAATTATGTATTGAAAATACAACTTGAAATTGAAAATTTGAAATTAAAATTGAAATTTGAAATTTTTACTATAAAAATATATCTGTTAAATTGTAATTGTTATGAAAACTATACCCGTTAAAGTATAACTGTTAAGTTTAATTATATTTTTCAATAAAAAATATTAAAATGACACTCTATCTTAACACCTACCATTAGAGTAAATTTATAATTTAGGGTTGCTAAAACATTGTTCAAGATTACAAAATAATATTTGGCACCCCAAAAATGACAACTCCCTTTAAAATTGTTCTAACAATGACACTAGTCAACTTGAGTTTGGCTCAATTTGAGCCATACATTCATATGTCCTGATTTTTAGTCCATATGATCGTAAAAGAATCTGGATTTTATATGTTCGATTGATTTTCAAGAGATTGCATACATCAAAATTTTATTTTATTTTATTTTTTTGAAAAAAAAAACATAGTTAATACGATTTTTCGTAGTCCAAATAAAAAAAAGAAAATGTTGACACAAGTGGATTGGAGTGGCTGGGTTGGTGTTCGTGTGTTACAATGCTTAGTTTCTAGAATGTAGGATAAAGAAAAGATGTTTTTCTTCTTGCAAGTTATCAAAATGGCAATCCAAACATAATAGGGAAAAACTTAATATCTGATTTATAGAATCTTAAACTTGTAAGAGTCACAATCGTGAGATCTAAAGTTTGAATTTCGTAAAAGAATTCAAACTTACTTTGGTTTACTTACGATTCTAATAATTACAATTTTAAACTAGAATAGTCAATTATAGTAATTTCGGTGTCCATTTAATTAGGTTTGATAATCGAATCGAATTTTATGTTATCGAGTTGAGCATGATGAACTCGTTTTTTTAAACAAAATAAAAAAATTATTAAAGTTTGACTCATTTTTTTAAACGAGGTTTATCAATTCGAACCGAATTTTTTAGGCTCATTTTTTTAAACGAACATAAAAAAATTATTTAAATTCAGGTAGTTTGAAACACAAATTGAGTTCAAATCAAGTCCTATATAAATCAAATTTGAACCGAGCTCGAATAACTTAGAGTCGATTATTAGCCCATCGGCCAATTCTCAAACAACCTCTGGGTGGAGTAAAGGACAACCTGCCTTGGCATGACATTACTAAACATACTAGGTCTTAGCCAAAAATGAGTGATTAGTGTTTTATGATAAGCCTACATACCCCTATAACCTAAACATTTTGTTCAAAAAGGACAAACACAAAAACAAAAGGATTTGTCCACTTGTAAGGTTGTGCAAAACCCATAAACGTTACCCACACCTACCTACAAAAACAGCCTCCTGGGCTAGGGGTGAAATTTTTCAAAGGTAAGATTCCTTACTTTCTTGGGCGCATGTCATTTTCTGTCATTTAACTATTTGGAATATTTGTCATAAAGCAATGTATATGTTGTGCACAAGTTAAGGTAACCCAAACAAATGTACATTGCAAACCCACAACCACCTCCCCCCCCAAAAAAAAAAAAAAAACCATAATTGTGATAATAGTGCCTTGGCAGAGCATTGCGAACTGAATACACTCTTGTGGTATGGTAACTGAAACCCAGCCCAATAAAAAAACTATTCTCTTTCTATGTATCTTATCAAACCGAAAATGACTCATAAATTTGTGAAGAAACAGTTTTTCCTAGCAATACTTAAAATTCCTTATTCAATTATTTTCGACGCGCCCTCTTTCTTAACCACTGAATTAAATCGAGGTCAAGTGAAATATTGCCAAGGCTTTATTTTTTTCCATAAACCATTCAAAAGTTTTCATTTTTTTCCTTGAGCTTTTTTATTTTTGGGTAAATCTAATTCATCAGAATTGTTCACGACGAGTGTATTTTTTTTTTATCAAATTCATTATCTCTAATGCCATAAGTGCTCCAAATCCGTTTACATAAACTTTAAACACACACAAACTGAACATCTTGAATAAATGTCCTATGGTTGAGTGTTCTGTGTGATAAGGTTTGATATTGCAACTTATATAATATAATAATTAGGAACCTGTTTTTAAGTTTCTCATTAATGTTGGAATAAATATTAACTGAGTTGGCAAACCTGCATGCCAGTTTGACATCTCTAACAAAAAGAAGAACAAATTACTTAATATCAAAACAAATTCATGAAATTATATTTAGACATTACCTAAATCCAAAAATATATAAAATTTATTTTCATGGATCGTAAAAGGTTTTAAAAATTTTCTAAAACTTGCTTAGTGAGTGTTCCTAGGAATAATAAAAAAAAGTCGGGTAAGGTTACCACATTTTTATAGTATAGTGTCAAAAAATGATTCAGACCATTGATTTTAAATTAAATAATTATAATAATAAATAAATAATTACATGGATTTTTTTGATCAAAAAATAGAGATAGATGCGAAAAGGTGCATTTTGGTACTATAAAACTTCTCAAAAGAGCTTAAACTAATCTTTAAAGTTAACTCAAATGGTAACAAAGACAATTTATAAACTTAAACGATTTGAGTTTGAATTTTAGCAACCTTTTGAGGTTAGGCTATGAAGAATTTATCCTCTCATAAATATTATAATCTTAGTGTGGATGATCTAATCCTGATTTAATGACATACCTTTAACTAAATTGAAGAGTCGATTAATCAACATACGAATAAATTAACCTATACACCTCTAACTATAAAAAAAAAAAAAAAACAGCTTAAAGTCCAGATTGTAAGAGTGAGCTTTAGAGGAGCCGTTCACAACCAACAAATACTCTCAAAATAGGAGATAGAAATTAGGGGTGTCAATTGTATTGTGTCGTGTTCATATCGTGTCACTTTTGATATGTGTCAGATTCGTGTTAATAAAAAATTATTAAATTCGACAACAAATCATATAATACTATTTAAAAAATTATAAAATTATTATTTTTTATCTATAATACTCCTTAAATAATTATTTACTATCTTCAATATCCATTAATTGTATTATTTGCGTTAATCTTAATTTGACTCATGTATTACTCGTATCAATTAATAGTGTTATTTTCCAGTTTATGTCAGATCAAATTCGTGTTAACGGATAAAATTGACACCTCTAAATCAATTTATCTCTAGAATTAGTCTTTGTCACCGAAAAAATAAGAATGCGTATAATTTCCAGATTATAATCAACTATGCAATTTACACCTAGTTTTGGGGCTAATTTTGGCCATAAAATTATCAAAGATACCTCAATCACCACCCGTTCAATACCTATTGCTACGTGGCATAACACCTGCCCTACACGTGCTACGGTGGCAATCTCCACTGGACCCACACCACACCCCCCACTACACTGGACCCCACACCCACCACTTGTCCCGTTGCCCGCACAGACAGGCCGAGTCCCCCTCTTCTTTCTCTCATGCGTCCTTCTCTGCCAATCTGTATTTGAAAGTTCAATTCAAAACAGTCTCCGTGTGAGTCTAAAAAAGGCCAAAACAAAGAGTCCGTTAGATGGTTCGAACTCACACGGGCACCCATTAATGCCCGCCTTTGCTGTCACTGTTGAGTCTCACGTTTCTCTCTCTCTCTGAATGTATGTATACATTTTCTCGCTCTATGTCTGTAACTGTATATCTGTATGTGTATGAGATCTGCTAATGAGATTGTGGTTTTTTTTTTATGTGTGGTGTAGGTGTTGGTTTGAAATGAGCTGAGGAGCTAGGGTTTTTAGTGCTTATGATTTTCTCGGATTCTACCTGTGTTCATTTCGAGGCGGTCTTGTGCTTTTTCCCGTGACTTCCGCTTGTCGGAAACTTTCGTTTTCAGTTTTCTTTTTCGTCTGTTTTTGAATTTGTAAAAATGGAGAGACCTAAGCACCGGAAGTCGAAGATTCCTACCGTCAGTGAAGGTCAGATTCTGTCTCTCCCTGTTTCTCTACAATATGTATATTTTATATATACACACACTAATGTATAAGTTATGTTTGGTTGCTGAGAAACCTGAGATAAAAGGAAAGAAAACGATTTTTTTATTTTTTTTTATAAATTTTTCCTTTTTTTAGCTTGTTGCGAATGAGGGAGACTGGCTGGTTTCTTAGAAAATTGAGCACCAACTAACAAATTTAGACGATTTTTTTTTTTGGAATTTTATTGTTTTGGCGATTTTGGAATATGAGAATTGGAGGCAACTGATTGCATTCTTCTTGTTTTGAGTGAATTTTCCTTGTAAACATCGAGTGAAGTTTTCCTTTTTCTCTTTTCTACATTTTCCGACCAACTAAACGGTAGCCCCTGTGATGCGTACTGTATGTGTGTGTTTTTTCTGATTTAATTTTGTGCTCGTTTTGAGACGTGGTGCTTATGAGTTAGATTCATGTCTTCTTCTTAGTTCGAGTGTTGAATTTTTCTAATATTTCTGTAAACTTTCTGAGAATCAAACTTTTTTTTTTCTTTTTTTTGGTTTTCGGCTCAAGCTCCATATGAAGCATGAAGCTCATGTAATTAATTTAATTATTTTGTATTCGGATATTTTTACTAAATTTTTTTTTTCTCAAATGTGAAGGATTTCTAATTTAACACTGTTTTCTAAGTTTTTCTGAGCAATTGTACGGTATCTTCTGAGGAAATTTTATTTTTCTGAGCTAATTTTGTTTCTATCTGCTGCTCTTTGTGAGACGGGTAGTTCATGAGTTTTTGACTGTGAGTTTTTGGCATTGCTAGTGCTTATGATAAAGTATATTTTGTTTGCAAGTGGAATGGAGTATTGCCTTTTCTATGGTGGTGTCAGCATAATTTTGTTTCTCCTTATTGGATTCTAGGGTTATGATGACATATGATTGCAGGGCCTAGTGCTCGCAGACCAAAGGCGCTTTATTCAGTTTATTTACTTGCAATTGATAATTTTCGCAGAAAATAGACTTTGTTTTTGATTCATTGCTTAATGCCCTTTTTTAACGATTTCTGTTTAAATCTGAGGGCTGGTGATGCTAGTGTTGTTATACGAATTCATATACAGGATACCAGCAGATCCGGAAACAAAGAACGGTGCCAAAATTGGCTTCCCATTCTAGTTCTTGCAGTGATGGCACTACCGAAGAAGATATTGTACGCTAATTTTTATGGTTATATTTATAGTTTATCATTATGATTTGAGTTTATCTTTTATTTATTTCTTTTATTAATCAGTTTGGTCTCTGTAGGTCATGTTTGAGCTTGCGAGGAGCTCTTCGAGGCGAGTTATTGGAACACCGATGAAGAAACTACTAGCAGAAGAAATGTCGAAAGAAACTGAAGCCAGGAGACGATCTCCTAGTCTTATTGCCAGATTAATGGGTCTTGATGGGCTGCCATCTCCACAGCCTGTTCATAGACAGCAGAAAAAGTTGTTGGGCAGTTATCAAGAAAGGACTGGATCGGTGGGGCTTCAAAGGAATGGCCAATTGTATGAGAGCCGATCGAATAGGAAGAGCTCAATGGAGCAGCAACAATTCAAGGATGTGTACGTAGACTTGGAAGCATCACACATGGTAAACCGCAGTAACTCGTCAAAATGGAATGTGGACTCGAATTTTACAAAATCAGAGGTAGCATTCATGCAGCAAAAATGCATGGTTGCAAAACATATTTCTTATGATGAGAAGCTTCAAGGTTCAAAAGAATTCCATGACACACTTGACATGCTAAATTCCAGTAAGGACTTGCTGCCGAGATTTCTTCAGCAACCAGATTATCTATTTGTAAAGCATCTGCGAGATGTGCAAAGTGATCCTTCCAGTTCTGTGTGTGAACACATAGCGGTTTTAAAGCCTTCAAATGCTGCAAAGTATGAAGGCAATGCAAAAGGATGGAAATCGGAAAGGGAAACTTGTTGTAAGCATGACATCAGACCTCATTGGATACGGGAGGATGGTCTTTTAATGGACACCTACAAAAGTCATGGTGCTCAAAATTCTGTCAGATCATTAAAAGTCCAATTAGAAGGGAAGGGTGACACAGGTGTTCTTCCGACGAGGATTGTTGTTCTGAAGCCTAACCTTGTAAAGGCGAGCAATGGTATTAAGTCTATTTCATCACCTAAATTTTCAAATGCTTATCTATCTGATTGTAGGAAGCATGCAGAATATTCTAGTATTGGGATTGGGAAGGCAGCTTCACCGAAAATCAAAGACTTGTCTAATGATGTGGCATTTTCAAGACCCAAGTCTAGAGAAGCTAGAGAACTTGCCAGGGAAATTACAAGGCAAATGAAAGAGAGTTTTGGTAGTGAGTCAACCAATTTCTCGTATTCTGGATGTGAGTCTGCAAGTGAGTCTGAGGTGATAGTATTGACTTCTAGAAATTCCGTTGATTGGAATCATCTTCACAAACGTTCATCTTCTGGTTCATCTGAGTCATCTGTAAGTAGTGAGGCGAAGAAGAGACTGTCAGAAAGGTGGAATCTGACTCATAGGTATCAAGACGTGGGAGTGGTTGGTAGGGGTAGCACACTAGGTGAAATGCTTGCCCTTCCTGATAAGGGAATGAGGCCTGAGAATTTAGATGCTATAATGGTTCTTGATGGAGCCAGTGACAGATTTACTAGCAGCAATAGCGGGGCAGGGTGTGACGACCCTGTGGGTATCAGCAGTAGGGATGGTTGGAAGGATGGATGTATCAGGAATTTGTCTCGATCAAGATCACTTCCACCTTTGCCTTTTGACAGTGGAATTCATAGAACTAGTGCACGATGTGAAGCTTTTGTTGATGACAGGTATCAGAAGGCCCAAAAGGCCCTGAATCGCAGTAGAAGTAAGGCAGTGAGAGGAAATCTTTCTCAGAAAGAAGATGCATCCTCCAAAAACTCAAGACCCATTCGTCGGAAATCTCATTCCTCTCGCCACAAATATACTGATAGTGCTGAATCTTTTTCTGCAGCCCATTTCAGCCAGTTTCAAGTGGAGATGAAATTTGAGAAGCAGGATCCATCAGAACAACAGCCTTTGGTTTCTCAGACGCCTGCGAATAATGGCCCTTGTGTAAGTTCTATTGCTGAAGCAGTTGAGGATGCAGAACAAGAGAGTATAACAATGTCATCCAAATCTTCTGATGAATTTCTCTCGAATCCATCCACTTTTTCATTAGGAAGTGGTGATTCTTCTGCTCGCGATGAAAAGAATCTGAACCTACAGGTTTGAATATTTATAATGTAGACCAATTTTTTAAGACTTGTTTATAATTTATTCTTTCAGTTCTTATACGAATAGTTGCAGCCTGTATTCCTTAATGTCCTATTAGCTGGGTAGCGTAGGTAGTCCAATGTTCTCTTTGTTTTTCCCCTTAATGATTCATTTGATGAACCTAAGCCTTTTGCAATGATTGTGGCCTTCAATGGCCTTAATTATGCCATATCTTCTCTTTATGGGTAATGTGCACACTTTTGGTCTTTTTCATCTCTATTCTTTTCCAGACAATCTAGTTCAATCTTTCTTCTATAAGAAAGTAAGCAATCGCTTCAAAGAGGAAGTAAGATCAAAGAGATTTTCTTGTTCATTTGCATGCTGGGCTACAGAAAGTTAATATTTGGTGGGAGCCAGTTACTCGGTTACCCTTCCAACCAGAGCTAATTGGAACATTAGTTCCCTATCATTTCCAATTTGGAATTCAGGTTCCAGATTGTGGGATCCTCTTGTTCCAAAATACTAATCTTATTAATGCTAAAATTATTATCTATATGGAAGGAAACGTATATACGGTAGACTTCTTGAAAATTAAGTTTATGTACTAGGATTAAGTACTCAACCTATGTTGGAGTAGTTTACATGTTTATCCCAGAATACAAACTTTCCCAAACAAATATGACCTCTGTCAATAACATTAATATGCTGGATCAGTAATTATCTCTGTGTTTCTTGAAGACCCTCAAAGCATTCAGGCTATGAGAGCTACACAAGCCTATCTCTGTTGCTCCATGTTTTAAAGCATATGACGCGTAGTCTTCTGAATAAACTTACCCAGCTTGAAGGAAGGGACGAGGTCTGGATTTGTGTGCTCATTCTTGTCAATTCTGAGAATCCTCAAGTCCAGCAATCTGTAGAATTTTGTACCATAAACCTGAGCTTCATTGTGCCATGGGAGTGTATATGTTCTCCTCATAATGGGGGAATACAAGATGTTGCTCTCACAGAAAGAATTAGTTAAAGTAGTTGAGGCAAGGAGGGCCTTAAAGTAAGTTGGCCTTAAATGAACCAACACATTTGCATAGTAGGTTGCTACAGGACCTCTTCCATGGCAAAAGAATGGTTTAATAAATGTTGTACCATCCTCTCCACTGATGTTCGGTCTGCCCTCTCATTCATGAAAATGTACTAATTGGCTTGGGAACTTAATCGTGTCTTCAGGGATCGTAAAAGATGTAATTAACAATAGATTTTGGAGAAGTATCGTAGGAAGGAACAAGGATATTATTTGCCTATTAGCTAAAACTGCAGCATTGCAATGACATGTCAGAAGCAAGTTGGATACAGAAATTCAATTCAAAGAGTAAGCTGAAAAAATGTGAGCCTCTATGCACTATTTGAGTTTTGGCAACACCCAATTTGAAAAGTTTCTTGCATGTTCCATGTATAGAAATAAACTAGATTCTAGGAAACCTTTGTGACAAGTCATTGGGGAGTGACATCAAGAAAAAATGGTTAAAGCTAGAAAACAAGTGGTCAATATTCCATTTGTGAATCCTAACCAAACCTGTAATGTGCATATTGGAAGCAAGTTGGATTTGGAAATTCAAAGTCGAAGGGTAGGCCAAAGAAATAAGAGCCCCTTAGTATTTGTCTATTTAGCATCACTGTTAGCCCCAAAGAAATAAGACCAGCATTCCAGTCAGCATTGGTGCCAGTTCAAGTCATGGGGGAGTGCCATTAAGAGAAAATGGACTAAAATCAGAAGTAAAGATATTAGCAGTCTTATCTGAAAACCATAACCAAACTTGGAATGGACACGCCAAAAGCAAGTTGGATTCAATTTCAAGTCAAAGAGTAAGCCAAATGTACAGCCTCTATGCACTATTTTTGCTCGTCGCTTAACCCTATCTTGAATAAAGGTCCTTACCTATTCCATATAAAGAAAAGACCTGCATTCCACGCGCAATTGGTGCCAACACAAGTCATGGTGGAGTGCCATCACGAGAAAATGGATTAAAGTTGGTTGTTTAATACAGGATGTCCTCTCCTTCCACTTTTTGATGTTGGAGGATGTGTGTGCCGGTTTGTGTTTGCATTTAATGATGCAATGTCGTTTTCCGTTTACTGAAACAGTGTCATTCTGTCATGCAGTATTGAGTCCTATTCCATCCCATTGAGTGGATGACTGAAATCCATTCTATCGCGGAAAGTATTTAAACCTAAAACCTAGGTAACCTACCCTGTGGAGACGTGATGGGGGTGGCAGAAATTTGATTCGGGGGGGATTGGGTATAGAGGGTGCAAGACGATGCAGTTTCGGACTGGGTTGGGTTTGTTGGCATACGATCTCAAATTGAGAAGTTAATCATAAGGTGAAAAATTCATTATATTAGATGTATTTGTTGAGTGCAAATATGTAGTTGAATTTTCACCCCTAAACAATTCATTTTGCAGGCTATTCGAGTCATTTGTATTGTACATAAGAAATGTTTCCTATTTCTCATGGTCCTCGGGGTGTGGAGAAGTTTTGGCTAGAATTGTAGTGACATAGTGATAAGATTACTACTTTTACAATATTATTATGACTTTGTTTGCTGGTAATTAACTGGTGCATGGAAGCAATTTTGAAAAATATATCTTCTTGAGCCACATTTTCGAAATTTAGATTTGAACAGATGAATACTCATTATGTCATGTAAATGAATATTACCACAAATATATATCAGCGAAATGTAAGCGTAAGAGTGGTGATTTTAAGAACTGTAGAGCATATCTATATAAATATCACTCTTTTTCAGTTGGGTATATATGCATAAATATTTATTGTGCATATACAACTACCATTTACCCAATATGGTAAATGTTCAGAGCTTGGGTTATTGAGCATGAAAATGGGAGTTTGAGATTTAAAGCTGTCACTTCGTGCAGACAAAGGGTAAGGTTTGTTCTTACCTAGTTATCCGTCTTAGTATTCTCAATTAATGAAGCCATTGGGCAAACGTGTCTTTAATGTATTACCATAAATACATATTTGCAATGCTTTTTTAATATACTATCTTTTTTTATGCAAGATAGTAGGAGTGTTTTAATAGAAAGGCAGGGGTATAAATTACATGTAAGTCCAAGGTTCGACCTTAGGAGTTGGCCTTTTTACTTGTTAGTAGTTTGGGGCTTTTTTGATAGGCCGCGCTCCACAAATGCTTAGGATTCGAAGAATTTTGAAATTTGAAGTAAATTAGCTATGTCCGACCAAGTCAAGCATTAGAGTTATTGCTTTTGCACTCTTAGGTTGTGCGGATCAATTTCCTCATATCATACATGAGGTTATCTCATTTGACAGGGTAAGAATTTTAGTTAGACCCTATGCATTATGGGGTATGTTTTAATTGAACAAGCCAATGTATTGAATTCAATAATTCCGAAAAAATAGAAACTGACTTTTCATTCGATACACAATTGACATTTTGACAACTTTAGTATATGTTGATCTTGGAAACAATTGTTAATGTCTATTTACTCTTATAATTAAACAATTCAACTCAACAAAACCTTAATCCCAACTATTTGGGTGGATTCTATTTACTCTTATGTGTCTTCTTTTTATGATTCTTTATCCATGATAGCAATTCGAGTTTTTGGCATATCACTTAAAATAATGTTTCATGTTATGATAAGGCATCATATTTGTTTCGTTGCGATAAGACATCATATTAGTTTGTCATTTTCCGTGTCTATTTCAAAGCAATTTTCTTTTTTTAGATTAGGGATGTAATAACAAACTTAACTTCAAATATTAATGCATTTTGCACTGAAGATTTACTCATTGCCGACCAGCCAACTATTAGATGAGGACATATTGATACAAACTTCTATAACATGTTTCTTTATGTAGTCTTATTCAATTGAATAAGTTCAAGCCAGGCTTGTTTGATTAATGAGACGCACAAAGTGACTGGGCTTCACTTAATTATGTCACAAATGAACTTAGTTGAGCTGCTTCCAAGCCAGGCAATTGGATGGTCTTGTGGCACTATTTTGGCAATATTTGTAGGATTAGTGGAGTTCCAAAATACATATCATCCTCGTAGTATGATACATTCTATTTCATTTTTCCTGAGCTTATTTTTCATGATTTTTTTTGAGATTAGGGATCACTTTGAAAATTGTGACTGCTGTCTTGCATTGGACAAATTTAGTGGAGAATACTTGTGTGGGCTTGCATGAGCAGGTCGTGTGTGCAACAGATATGGAATATGCTCAATTTAACAAACGCCATTCTCTTAATTGCCGATTCATCACAGTACTTTAGTTGTTGATAATCATTACCTTGAATTGCACAATATGTACCAGAGATTGTAGTCCCATCTTACTTGATTTTTATTTGGTGAACTACAAAGATGTTATGTGGACTTACAATTCCATTCTGTAACTATAAGAACGTGTACAGCCTGTCTAGGATAACTTAAGAGGTTTTACTGATTATAAGGGCGTATTTTGAACTTCAATGTAGCAATGTTATTCAAACCATAACAAAGAGGCTAGTTTCTATGTCATCCGTCTGTACACTACTATTTGGATCATATTTATTCTGGATATATTTTGAACTTTGATGTAGCATTTAATTGATGTATGATCTCATTGATTTTATCTATTTTTAATGGTTGCGAGATACCTGCTCTTGTTTGTCACTTTTTCATTTCAGTTAGCATTTAATAAAAATGTGACAGCTTCATTTCCATGTGAAGATGATTCTTCTAATTAATTATGATATCAGAAACTATCAATTGAACCGCCTCAAGGTAGTTCTGTTGCACTGCAGTCCCCTGGGCTTGAACTGGAATCTTCTGAAAGCTCACAGGAGGCTGATCATCCTAGTCCAGTTTCAGTTCTGGAAGTCCCTTTCACAGAAGATGTATCACCTGGTTCTGAATGCTTTGAGAGAGTCAGTGCTGGCCTTCAAGGTAACTTTAAAAGAAGCTCTGTACTGCATGAGTTCTTGTTAAGAAGTACTGCAACGCGTGGAACTACTTTATGAATTACTGCATCTTATGTTTCGTAGCTTTTGATGGCATAAAATCCTTTACATTGTGATATTTACATACTGCAAAGGGAGAACGAATGCTTGAGATGAACTAAATACAACAAAAAAATTTCATAGAATCAACCCTTGGTATGAACAATACAAGTATATAAAGAAGACTTACCGTGTAACCATAAAGAGATAGTTTGTATGCTATAGGAATATGGTCTTTTTGTTAATACAAATGAGGAGGAGTTAGACCATGCTTGAATTTTTAACTGCTTGCAACTCTGTTTCTCTGCTTTAATTGCTCTTTAATCTCATGTTTGTTGTAGAACTCCAAAAGCAACTCCAGCTCCTGAAGATGGAGTCGGAATCATATGCTGACGTTCCTATGCTTGTCTCAACTGATGAAGACGCGGGGCAAGGATCAATTATATTCACCCAAGAGAAGGAGATTATAAATGAGAGCTGGGAATCTTACTACTTAGTTGACGTTCTTATTGACTCCGGTTTTAATGAAACTGATCCTGACATGTTCATGACAACTTGTCACTCTCCAGAATGCCCTTTGGGTCCTTGGGTATTCGACACCCTTGAGAAGACGTATGGTGATGAGACAACTGGGCCGAGGTCTGAACGGAGGCTACTGTTTGATCGTATAAATTCGGCACTCTTGGAGATTTATCAGATGTTCATGAAACCTTGCGTGTGGGCGAAGCCAGTGACACGCATAACTGGTTCAAACTGGTCGAGACATGGGCTCATAGGGGAACTGCATAAATTGCTTGCAAACCAAGAAAAGAGAGCAAACTACGACATATCCGAAAAAGTGCTGGATAGGGAGATGCAATGGTCAGATTTTGGAGAGGATATTGAGGTGATTGGCAAGGAAATAGAGAAATTATTGATAAATGACCTAATCACAGAGTTTATAAGTATGTAGAAAAACTCTAATTGAGAAAGTAGCTAGCTACATAGAGATGAAATGATGGAAGGCTTGGTTTAGAATGAATAAACATAAGTTCCCTGTTCTACATTATTAATAGTATAATCCTGTTATGCTGAACAGAACAGTGGAGGAGCCACCATCGGCTTAGAGAAGACGCATGCCTACCCTCAAAATTTTATTTTTTGGCATTACACATGTATTTTTCAAATATTGTTTAAACATGTGTGACTATGCCTATCTTTTTTCTTTTTTTTTTATCTTTTTTTGTGATGTCAATTAGAATAGACATATAATTAAATAATTATTAATTTTGCCATATGTCTTGGATACGTTCGGATTCGTGTTTGTACTCAAAAAAATTTAAGACTTAGAGATACATGGTGTATTTATTAGGTTAGTTACAACTTTGATATTAATTTCATCGATTGTATTTTTTTTTTTTTTTGGTAGGAAAGACATTTTTAACTGTAGAAATTATAAAAACTCGATTATGTAATTAAATGAGGGATAACATACTCCATGGTATTTATAACGAATTTATCATGTAACAATTTTAAATAATAAAAATTCATTGGGATCAATTAAAAATGACTATAATTAAATTTTTTTTTTGAAAAATGTTAAAATTAATATTTTTTGTTTTGTTTTTACATGCATTTTTGGCCCTATTAAGTTGAATGATTTTATTTTATTTGAAAAATAATTTTAATAAATATAAATGTATCATCCTATTTAGCAATAAATAAATAAATAAAGTTAAAATGCCCACCCAAGACTAATTTTTTGACTTCGGATGAAATTAACTTGCTACTTAATTTGAACTTGTTGACGTTCGATTGTTTTTGGATTTGAAAAATGTGAAATGAGAACTTAATATTCAATTCCACTAAGCCTTGTCATAAATACTTTTGAGGTTAACCAAATGAGATTTGTTTGAGTATCAAACTTATGAAGTTAATTATGGATGGCAGTATGTTGCTTTAGACATCGGTAAATCATTCCTACTCCGAATTTATAGTTATAATGTAAATTTTGGATGTACATAAAACTACATGTATAGGTGTCAAAGAATGGGCTGGCTATCATATTGGCCAAGGCTTGGGCCAGCCCAACCTTGAACAATTCTTTATTTTATTTTTTTGGTATAGTATATTGGGAAATTTGGAGGTCGGTATATTTTGTTTTAGACATCGATATATTTTGTTGAGCGTGTCACTGTTTAACGTTATTATTTTTTTGTTGAACGTGTCACTGTTTGATGTCACTGTATTACATGTGTGTGTGTGTGTATATATATATATATATACACAAATATCAAAAGAAATCTTAAAAGTTTCACATTATAATCTTGAAAGTCTCACATTTAAATAGGTATGCACTATTTATGGTAGGGGTAATTATGGAATACATTTTAGAAAAAATTTGAAAATATTTTCAAATGTGTAGTTATTGACAACTATTTGATGAAAAAAAAGATTTAAAGGAGGATAAGTTTGGATGTGGTACTTAAAACTAAGTAAGTTTTAAAAAAGGTACTCACATCCCATTATTGCTAGTATATTCTATTCTTGAATTTGTATTCACTCAAAAAAAAAAATTGAAGTATATAAGGTAACAAACATTTAATAAACCACTGAAAAAAATATATATAAGCTTATTTTAAAAACATGTTTTTATATTAAATAACTAATTATTACTTGCGCTTGAAGATACATAATAATAAAAAATAAAAAATAATAAACATATTTTTATTTATATCCAAAATTAAATTACAAACATAGAGAAGAGATAAATAAATTTAAACATCGATTTGTAGTGAGAGTGAGAGGTGATGAGACAGTAGTGGTGGTGGTAGGAGACAGTAATGGTTGTGGGTGGCGGCGACAATGATAGTGATGGTGGTGGTGACAGTGGCGGTGGTGGAGGTCGCCGGGGGGGGGGTGATGGTGGCGACAACGACGATGGTGGTGGTAGTGGTAGTGGGAACGGTGGCAACGATGGTGGTAGTGAAGGTGGGGGTGATGGTGGCGGTGACGGTGACGAGGGGGTAGCGGTGGCGGCGGTGGTGGTGGAGGTGGCGGTGGGAGTGGTAGTGGTGAGACGATTTCAATCACTATTTTTTTTAAAAGTATTTATGAGATAATTTCTAAATGTACTTTTAAAAAGTCACTCCAAAGACACCCTTAGAAACTTATTTTTTCTATTAAATTTAAGGTCTTAATATTAGTCGTTAGATTAATTTTAAAGTAAAATTTAAAGAGATCTCAATTGCGAATAACAAAGGTGATTTTGTTTATCTTTTGAGATTTGAATTGTAAACTACTTTATTGTATAGATGTGAATTTAAATTACGGTTTAATATAAACAATGGCAAATATGTTGAGAGCGAAGGCCACCATGTCAAAGTGGATGGAAAAGCTGGTGCAAGCAAAACAACATAAGCAAATGTGGCGAGTGGGAAAATGGGTATTTGAGTTTCTTCACCGCTCATCACAAAAAGAGGTGCGAAACAAAGAAAAAGTATGATGGCTAGAGATAGATAGAGGGAGAGACAGGGTGCTTCTGTATTATTCGAACAATCTGAGGGGATACACTCTCAAAAAATGAGAGTAAACTAATAAAATTATGTACATAGCCAAGTCTATTAACAGGGGCGATCCAAGAGGGTTTGAGATCTAAAGCGCCCTCAAGAGAGTTTGAGGAACTATTATTTGGAAAGGTCATATACATTTTTTGTTGGACGTATAGGTAAAATGAGAAATATATTATAGAGATATCATACGAGGACATTTTTTTTTTTTTGGTTTGTGACAATAAGAAAATATGCATTTGGATTTTAGAGAGAGAAAGAGAGAGAGAAATGGCAATTAGAATTTACTAACGGAGGTTGTCCTGTGCATCTCACGTGATTACACTGGGAGTACATTCTGTAAAAATTTTATGGATTAAAATAACAAACTGTAAACTTAAAGGACCAAAATAATATAAGTTACAAATTTGAGGGACCAAAGTCACTCCTAAAGTGTGGTCCATCGGTCAATTCAGACTGCCCTTTTTTATTGGACCAAAGTGACAAATTAAGAAATTGACAGATCAAATTACACTATTCAAAGATCGAGGACCAAACTGATATAAACTTGCATTTTACACTTTTTTTTTTTTTTTTTTGAACAGGGACGGTCCAAGTGTTCTACCAAACACTCAACATGTACAAACAATACGAGGAGATTGTCTCGAACACATCCACAAAGACCAACGAAAAGAAGTTTTTGCACTAGACAACATAATATTCCTCACCATCGGCATAACAACAGTTGAACCAAAGGTAATTTACTTTTACAAAAAAATAAAAAAAAGGAAAAATAGTCAAAATAAAGCAATCCAAAATATTTTACTTACTGAAGATGAGATTAAAGCATGAAAGAGTAAAGGAAGCTCACTCACCACTATGCAACTCTGAGATAAGGACAAAGTGGCTACACCAGAGCATGCTGCAACGAACTCTGCTATATTTTGGCAGTAATTCCATCTACCTTCTTCCCATTGTTCCTCAGTGACCCAAAGGTCTAGGTGAGCTTCACAGAGACCGCCCCAGTTCTTTAAAGAATAGGCGTGGCCTACAACATTATAGTACTCGAGGACACTAAGAGCTGGGGTATCGAACACAACCTCATATTTACCATTACTGCAACAGTTGATTATTTTCAAAATTTTCAAAGAACAATTGGAAATTTCAAACAATTTGCGTATCTTCAAATTCACACTTCTCTATCCTAAACGATTGAAGCCAAGGGCAGCCACTAAAAAGCCTCTTAACTAAGTCACTACCACGAAATTTAACGAGTTTTAAATGTAGGACTTGAAGATATGGTATATAAAACGAACTTGGGATATGGAGAATGAAATTCCCATCTAGACTCAATTTCAATAGTCTTGTGCACACAAACTTAAGTCGAGGAAATACCAAACAATCTTTATTAACAACAGAAATATTTGAGTTCTTTGACATTAAACCTTACCGCGGAACTAAGCCAAGAATTAATGTGGACATTGTCATAGTCTTGTTCACAACGTAGAACAATTTGATCGATATATGATACATCGGATAGAAGGTGATCTAGCACACTATACACGTAATTGATGAAATTACTTCTGCGGTCCAACTGGTCCAATTCAATGGGTTCTTGACCTTGATGTGAAAATATTGACTCATCCAAAACAAGTTTAAGATCGTCAATTCAAGCAAAAAGGGGTTTCCACCTAGTTGACAAGAACGTAGTAGCCGCTGAAAATCTTGTGGGAAGAAAAGATAGTATGTGACAAAGTATGTCGTCTGGCAAATCGGAAACTCTGTCAACACCATAATCATAATCCGGTGTTTGCTCCATAAGATGACATTTCTGATCAAGTGCCTTCAAGGATTTGGGTGATGAATCCATAACTTCAATGAAGTTCCTTGGGAAGAGCTTGATGAGGGAGGTATTGCTGCGTTGCTTCTTCAGCATATAGAATATGGAAAGGCTTGATGAGAGAGTTATATTCTGTGTTGTTTCTTATAAGGAAACCACATACAATAGGAAAACAAAATCCTATTTAACTTAGAAAACAAAATATGTGAAGAGTTCTAATTAAACAAGAAAACACAAGTTATAAAATTATTTGAATAGTAAAACACAATCCTAGTTAATCTTAAGTTACGTTTGGTAACGTTTTCGTTTTTATGTTTTCACAAAAATAAAAAACAGAAACAATTTTCTATTTTTTTTGTTGTGATAAAAACTGAAAATAGAAAATATATTTTGATAATGGTAGTCATTTATGTTTAACAAATTATAAAAACAAAAATAAAAAACATGTTTGATAACCACTTGTTTTGAAAACTATATTCCAATTGCTCAATAAAATCCTCAAGACCTCTTTGGTCGAAAATGCAAATTACAGCCCAATTCCCCAACTACTACTCTAATATGCATATCAGATGCTAAAGATCAATCCCAATCCCAAATCCCAACTAGACCCACAAAAAAATAGCAAACAAATTGAACAATAATGATCCACCATGAAGCAAAAAAATTGAACTGAAAATATAGCAAAAAACAGATTCATAACATAAGTAATAAAGTGGATGAGTTTTCTTTGATATTGCATATGAATCTACCTAATGAATTTGTGTGTAAAAAAAGAGATTTACCAAAATGAATTTGGAACATGACTGTCTACATGGGTTTGGACATTTGATTCTATTCCAACTCTTAGCCATGGTAATAATTGATTAACCACTCTATTATATCTCAATTAAGTCATGTTTGAATCAATATTTTGATAAATTAATTCTAATTCAATTGAATAATTAATTCACCATTTTATGTTATACAATTTAGAGTTAATTGTATTAGAGGTCCCCCAAGTATGAGATTCGTCTCATTTTAATGTCTAATATTTTAATTACATTATTTTAATCTCTGAATTATTACTTGGTAAATTCCTATACTTTTCAGTTGGACGTACAGGTAAAATGAGAAATGGATTATGGAAAGACCTCATGCGGGGGCATTTGTTTTCTTCTGCCTTGTGACAATAAGAAAATGCATGTGCATTTGGATTCCAAATAAAGAGGGAGAGAGGGAGAGAGCCGAAGATGGCAATTAGAATTAGCTAACGGAGGTCGTCACGTGCATCTTACGTGATCATATTTGAAACACATTCTTAGAAAAATTTAGGGACTAAGGTGATATAAACTGTAAATTAGAAGGACAAAAATGATACAAGTCACAAATTTGAGGAACCAAAGTCACCACTCAAGTGATAGCGTGAACATCATTGTTAGTCAATTTTTTTTTTGGTCATGAAAATAACTTTTATATTAATACTCCAACTTGCTATTACAGAAAATATATGTCAACCTATACCATTCCTTTCCTCCTTCCTAAGTACATTCATAAGAAAATCAGGGGGGTTAACTAACTCTTGAGGGAGGGAAAATCCTCTTCTAGCTTGAGTTGCTAGAGTATGTGCTGCCATAATTTGTGATCTCCTCACGAACTGCAGCTGGACCAAAGGTATTTGCTGGATGTACTGCCAAATATCCTGCTGGATAGATGCTATCTCCCTAATTGGAGCTTCAGGGCCCTTGCTCAATGAGTCCATAAGGTACTTAGCATCAGACTCAATTATAACCGCTTGGTACCCATGCTCTAGTGCCATTTTGGAGGCCCTTCTTACTGCATATGGTTCTGTGACTATAGCAGACGAGGCCCCAACTGTTTGTGCTGCCCCAGTGATCCATGAGCCCTCAGGATTTCGCACCACAATTCCATAGGCTCCTTCCTTAGCCTTCGCTTGATATGCTCCATCACAATTAATCTTCACCTAGTCCTTGGGAGGATGCATCCAGTTAAGTTCTGCACCTATTAGAGTGCTTTCTTGTACTTGCTTTCCACTACATATAGGGCACGTGGGAAACTTTGCAATTTTTCTCCTCCATAACTCCCATGTAGTAGCAAGTGCACCACTAACTACTTTCCACAAAAAGGACTGTATCTTCGGGGGTACTTGGATTCTCCATATAACCTTCCATATGCCTTGGGGTACTTGATAAGAGGTGGAAGCATTAGATCTTCTTTGAGCGGGTTTTACTCTTTGTTTTTGCAAATGATGACCACTCCTTACAGTGTAGAATCCAGAATTTGTGTGAGCCCATCTAACTGCATCTGTTTGAGAGGTTTCACTTAGAGGTATAGCTAAGACCTCAGTTGCTACCTCTGCTGGAAAGGTATTATTAACCAACTCTCTATTCCATCTTCTGTTAGGTACCAAAATGAGTTCTTGGACCTTTTGAATACTGCTCTGCTGCAGGTTGGGTAATCCCTTATGCCCAAGAACCCAGTGATCATCCCAGCAGTTAACTTGACTGCCATCGCCAATTTGCCAATAACATCCTTCCTTTAACAATTCTTTTCCTTCCAGTATGCTCTTCCATATCCAAGAGCTGTTTGGTTTTGGTGTAGCCTGCCAAAAGTATACCTCCTTAAAGTATTTGGCTTTCAACATCCTAGCCCATAATGAGCCTGGGTTTTGAATAAGTCTCCAAGCCTGCTTCGCCAACATAGCTGTATTGAAACTTTCGAAGTCTCTAAAACCCAGTCCTCCTTCCTCCTTTCTCTTAGTTAACACTTCCCAACTTTTCCAATGTATTCCTCTTTCCCCTGAAGATTTACTCCACCAGAATCTTCTTATCTCTGAGGTTAGCTCCTCACAAAATGAATTAGGAAACTTGAATATTGACATAAAATAAGTAGGGATTGCCTGAATGACTGCTTTAATCAACACTTCTTTCCCAGCATGATTGAGAAACGTTTCCTTCCATCCAGTTATCTTTGCCAAACTCCTCTCCTTTAACCACCTCAGGTTCTGCTTCTTAGACCTCCCCCGCTCAGTTGGTAAGCCAAGATACTTACCAGATGACGGTGACAATGGAATCCTTAAACAATTGGCCAAGTCTTGTTGGATATGAATTGGGGTATTCCTGCTAAACACCACCCCTGACTTGTTTAGATTAATCAATTGTCCTGTAGCATAGCAATACTTGTTTAAAATCTCCATCAGTAACTTGCATTGACCCCTGTTAGCTATAGAGAAAAAGATAGAATCATCTGCAAATAACAAATGGGAAATACTAGGAGCTGCTCTATTTATTTGGAGACCTTGAAGAATACCACTTTCCATTGCTTTGTTCATCAAGATGGTCAAGCCTTCTGTAAGGAGAATGAAGAGATAAAGGGACAATGGATCTCCTTGTCTAATCCCCCTAGTTGGGTCTATTTTTATAGTCCTTTCCCCATTAACCATAATGTTGTATCTGACAGTAGTAACATTGCATGATCATATTAACCCACCTGGAATCAAACCCCAATTTTAACAAAAGATCTCTAAGATAATCCCATTCCACCCTATCGTACGCTTTAGACATATCTAACTTCACTGCCATCTGATATTTTCTGGTCCCTCTTCTTTGCTTTATAGAATGTAAAATTTCCTGGGCTACAACACTGTTATCCTGTATTAACCTCCCCCCCACAAAGGCACTTTGATTTTGGGACACCAATGATGTCATAAATGGCTTCAACCTCAAAGCTAACAACTTAGATATGATCTTGTAAATAAAATTAGGGCAACTAATTGGCCTGTACTCCCCAACTACCTCTGGATTAGGAACTTTTGGTATTAAGACCACATTAGTTTCATTAAGCTCTCTTAACAAAAACCCAGATTGGAAAAAGGATTGAGCGGCTGCATAGACTTCCTTTTTAATGATATGCCAATATTTATGGTAAAAAATACCTGGTAATCCATCCGATCCAGGAGACTTTAGAGCCCCAAGGCTGAATACTACCTTCTTGACCTCCCCAAGAGAAGGTGGTTTCATCAACTGCTCATTCATCTCTGCTGTGACTAGTTGAGGGAAATCTTGCAATATCGGCAATTAATTTCTTTCACCCTCTGATGAAAAAATTCTGTAATAGTGCTCTTGTACCATCCGTTTAATCTGCTCCATATTTGTCACCCATTCATCATTCAGCCCTTTTAGCATAACCATCCTATTTCTTTGCCTTCTTTGAATGATAGTTGTGTGAAAAAACTTGGTATTCCTATCCCCCCACCTTAGCCACTTCAATCTCGAACGTTGACCCCAATACTTTTCCTCTCTTTTCCATACCTTCTCCACTTCTGTTTTGAGTTTTCCTATCTCCTCAAGATGTGAACTCTGATAAGGACTATTCTGAATATCAACCATTTTGGCTTTCAATTCTTCTATCTGTTTCCTACTATTTTTGAAATGATTTGAGCTCCATCTCTTCAATTCCCTTCCACAATTCCTGAGTTTCTGTTTAACTTGAAACATTCTGGAACCTACGACTGGTTGATCCCAGCTTTGTTTAATGACTTCAGCACATTGCTCCTCATCAGCCCAATACGCTTCAAACCGAAACTGTTTTCTTGCCATAGTTACCTGAGGGTCAATATCCAGAATCAAGGGTGAATGATCGGATCCCACCGCTGGTGCAGCTATTACAATAGCATTGGGGAAAGCCACCCTCCAGCTAGGTGATGCTAGAGCCCTATCCAACCTTTCTTTGACATTAGCCTCTCCTTGACGGTGATTATCCCAAGTAAATCTACATCCCTTGCTCTCTAGATCAATTAACTTGTTCCCATCCACAAAGGCTCTAAAACTCCTCAATTTTCTATTAGCTCGATCTCTGATCCCCTCTTTTTCCACACTTGATACAATATCATTGAAATCCCCTATACAAAGCCAAGGGAGCACAAGACTTGTACCATAAACACTTAACTGGGCCCATTGTCTGCATCTACTGTCAAAATTAGGATGACCATACGCAAAACTCAAGTGCCATGGTCCTGATGTATTCTTTGCCTTAACTGTAATATTCACAATGTTCTGGCTAAGATCTTCAACCTCCAGATTAATATCTTCTTTCCACATAATGCATAATCCACCAGATAACCCTATTGGGTCAACTACCACCTTTCTATCAAAATTCAGTTGCCTTCTTATTCTCTCCACTCTATTTTTTTGTATTTTTGTTTCACTGAGGCACAGCACCTGGGGTTTATATAGGACACAAAGGTCCTTTGGAGCAAGAACTGTCAAGGAAGCCCCTAAACCTTGACAGTTCCATGCAATGAGCTTCATGATGGGGGTGGGGGCATGTTAAGGCCCGCCTCCTCGGCCATAGTGGAAATCTCTGCAGTCCATTCCACATTCACTTCATGTAACTGTTTATACCCCCTGAGTACTCATTTGTCTGATGGATTTTTGCCCTCTGAATTTTCGAAACGCATGTCTTCTGACAGTCTGAGTAGAGCTTTCTTTATCAATCATTTCCTTATATTCACTCTGCCTTGTCCATAATAATTCAGCACCTGGAATATCCGACTCTTCTAGGACTTCCTCATTTTCCGCAATAGCCTGTGATGATTCCACGTTGTTAGGTTGAAAAGTAAGGATACCCTCTTCCCTCCTCTGAACTTTCCAAGCTCTGATCCTTAACCAATCCTCCGGGAGCTGTCTCTTCAAAGACAATTTTTAAAAGCCATGCAATGATCCATGATTCTGTCTGGATTGGAGGTAGGAATGTCCTGAATTGTCTCTAAAAATTTAGCAAATGGTGGATTATCTTCATCTTGTGAGGAGGTATTATCAAATCAGGATGATATCTGAAAGTTGTTATGGGACTCAGTTTTACGGCGTTGATCATCTGGGTCTTGGTTCTTTGGGTTTGTTTGTGTGGGTTGTAATTCATCAACAAGGCTTTCCATTGTAATTTGTGGACTGGGAACAATGACAGATAATGGGCTATATTGGGTGAGAGAAGGTAAAGACATGATTGGGCTTTCTTTTGGTTTGTTTATTTTGGTTGGGCTAGGGTTAATAGCTGTAGGAAAAGTAGAGGGGTAATTATGGTATTCCAGACTCTCGGGCGGAGGCAGGTCATTTACGGCTGGACATTAAGGCTAGTATTCTGTTGTTTACAGCATTCTGTTACCTGTTCCTCATGTAAAATCACACCACGTGTCCCAACTGCAGAATCCTTGATCTGTGCGTGTGCTGGTTGCACTATTGTATCCAGAGCCGATACGATCCCATGCTTGGAGAGAGATTCGGTCACTTGCCACTCGGGGATTTCGACATTCCACTCGATCATGACCCAGATGTCCACATTTACAGCAAAAACCGCTCAACCTCTCATACTTCAGTTCAATTTTCTTATTTGGGAGACCATTCCGAGGTAACCAGAAAAACGTTGTTAATGGCTTCCTGAGATCTATCATGACTCGGGTGCGAAGGTAATTCCTCCAAATGGACCTTTGGGTCAGTTTACTCTGTTTTTCTACAGGATCTCCTATTGCCTGAGCAACACGAAAAGCATTCTCCGCCGTGATCATATCTGGAGGGATACCATGGGCTTGAACCCAAAAAGGAGCTGTGTTGAAGTCGAGCTCTGAAACAAGAGAGGTGGCAATCTATTGCTTAAGTACCATCAGCTGACTCTTTGCAGACCATGGTTCCAGGTTTAGCACTTTCTGCTTAAGCACATCATCAGCAAAAATAAATATATAAGTACCCAACTCTCCATCTCTAATCTCCACTCGATTCTCCGCTTTCCATGCTCTGGTTAGAATGCTCTTCACTACGTTTCGATTGAGGGGTTTCTGGGTAAAAACTTTACCAATCAAACAGCTCTGCCTGACAAACTCAGCTGTATTTTCATCTGATTGCAACTGTATGACAGGGGTTTTGTGGTTGATTATGGGGTTGTGTGAACAAGGTTCAGGTGGACGTATTATGGTGGTTGTTTTGTCTGACATAATGTACAGGTTTCAAGAGGTATTCAGTGGTGAAGGAAAGGTATATCTATGATTATTTGTTGCTGGGTTGTTGATTGGGAACCAAGTGTTTAAACAGGGGTATTGATGAATAAAGAAGGGTTTAAGTTGGTGGGTTAACTAGTTGGGCGGAGACAAGGTAGAGTAGAAGGGGATCTGTGCTAAACCCCTATAAGGAAAGCAAGAATAGAATAAGCAAATAAAGAGAATAAACGAAGAAGAGAAAGGATGACAACCTTCCAGAGATACAACGCCACCATCGGGCAGAGGAAAAAGAGAGCTCTACGAGGGGAGAGCGACCTGGGTGCTTAAACTTAGCCCTGTTTTTGTTAGTCAATTCAAACTGTCATTTTTTATTGGACTAAAGTGTCATAAATTAAGAAAATTTTTGGATCAAATTGAGACAGTTCAAAAGATTGAGAACCAAACTAACACAAAACTCATAGTTTGAAGACCAAAAATACATTTTACCCCTCTGTTTTTTGAACAGGAACGGTTCAAGTTTTCTACCAAACAATCAACATGCACAAACAATACGAGGAGACTGTCACACGAACACATCCACAAAGACTAACGAAAAGAAGTTTTTGCACTAAACAACATAATATTCCTCACCATCGGCATAACAACAGTTGAACCAAAGGTAATTTACTTTTACAAAAGAATAAAAAAAAGGAAATATAGTCAAAATAAAGTAATCCAAAATGTACATTGCAAACGCAAGTGACTTTCTTCACATAAGAGAAAATTCTAAAATCTTAGTTTTTTCTTTCTGAATATCAATCTCACGGAGTGTCGAGTGTTTTGTCAACATTAATAATTTTCTGCTCATGCTCAACTGCTTAACTGAAAACAAATTAGAACTAATTTTCATCTGTCTCAAAACTTTTGCAATATTCAAGAAGTGTTCTACCAACTTGAGATCATCTTCCTTCCATTTGAACTCTTCAAGCTCAATTTTATAAAGTGAGGATGAGAAACACCTAGGCACATGTTCGGTCATATGAGCCATAAATTCTGTATAGCCTTTGTACTCAAAAATTCCCTATTCAGAAAAAAGAAAAACACAATAAACGACAAATATCTAATAAGGTGCTAGTATAGTAGAAATCATTCCTCACATCTTAACTTACCCGCTCAAAATTAAGAACCTTGAGATTAGGCGAACTTTCAAGTAAGCGTGGTAATAAATTCCATCCTTTCTCTTCAATATCCCCAAGGGTCAATGTGCATAAAGAACTAAATTTGGGCAGCAATCTACCACTAGAGTTAATGGCCTGTATGCAAGATGGAAAAAATGAAGATACAAGCAACAAGAAGGTGAATTCCACAAACAGATAGACACCTACATGTAAGGTTGGCCTGTCCATCTCAAGCTCGAGTACTTGTGCCATGGGCTTACCGTCCAAAAAACCACCCTCATAATGCATTTTTTAGTTGAAGTTTCAATGCATAAGCGTCCCTTTCATAATCTTTTATTTAAAACATTTACCATAGTTTTGAGTATTTTTATCAATGTTGTGGATGTTTTTACCACTACGGCATCGAATAAAATTCCCACAAAAGTTGCAAATTTTTTTGTTTTAAAAATACCCACAAAAATTATAAAAATAATCACAAAATATTGTAGTCTTAAGTCCAAAAATTATTCTTCTGAAGATGAGATTAAAGTCTAAACATGAAAGAGTAAAGGAAGCTCACTTACCTCTATGCAATTCAGGGATAAGGACAAAGTGGCTACATGAGAGCATGCTGCAACGAACTCTGCTATAGTTCGGAAGTAATTCCATCCATCTTCTTCCCATTGTTCAGAAGTGACTTCAAGGTCTAGCTGAGCTTCAGAGAGATGGCCCAAGTTCTTCACAGAATAGGCGTGGGCTACGTCATTATGGTACTCGAGGACACTAATAGCTGGGGTATCGAACAGAACCTCATATTTACCATTACTGCTACAATTGATTATTCTCAAAATTTCCAGTGAACGACTGGAAATTTCAACAACTTGCATATCTTCAAATTCACACTTGTTTATTCTAGACCAGTAAAGCCAAGGGCAGCCGCTAAAAAGCATTTTAACCGAGTCACCACCCCGAAATTTAACAGATTCTAAATCTAGAACTTGAAGATATCGTACACAAAACGAACTTGGGACGTGGAGAATGAAACGCCCATGTAGACACAATTTCACTAGCCTTGTGCAATCAAACTCATGTCGAGGAAAGTCCAGAAAATCCCCATTAGCAACTGAAATCGTGAGTTCTTCGACAACAAACCTTACTGTGGAATCAATCCAAGAACTAAAGTGGGCATTGCCATAGTCTTGTTCACAACGTAGAACAACATGATCGATGTATGGTACACCGGATCGAAGGTGATCTAGTATACTATATGTGTGTGCAAGATCCTGCACAATATAAAAAACGAGAACAGATCTCTCCCTTGGTGAACTCGAGTGAGCCGGTTGAGTGGCCAACCACGCTGCTTGGGACAGCCTGCGAGGTCCGATGGTAACCTGGAACGGCAACGGGAGACCCTGGGGGAGCGGAAGAACGATCCAGTAAGGCTGAAAGAGGTTCCTGGAACGAAAAAGAACAAGTTAGAAGGGTGCCGGAGTATTTTCTGGCGTATCCCCTCCGATGATCTAGTCAGTCTTTGAGAAAGAGAGAGGAAGGAGAAAACACTGAGTGTGTATTGTAGTAAAGAGTTTTTTATTGCATACCCGTCTTGCCTTTTGCAAGGAGTATTTATACCTCAAAAACTCATGATTGCTGTCAGTGTAGTCAGTAGGTGATCATTAGGTACAGACAGTGTGCGCACTGATTCTGATGAGGAATGTCTTCTCTTCTTAACTGCTCGGGGTCCCGAGGAATCAATCTGGGTCATCGGGATGCCAACGGTACAATGTACTCATCTCGGGGAGGATGCAATAAATGCTCTGTATTAGGAGCATTTATTGCCTTTCATTTCCGAGCCTTACCGCATTGAATGCGGTCTCATCAAGGGAATGGTGTAATTAATCGTTTGTTTTTCCAAGTCGCGTGTCAGCAACGACATGCGATTTCTCTGTCTTCGATGTGATATCATATGTCACGCGTCCATCCCCCATTGGCTGTGGCCCCTGTATTCCAGTACGTTCTGACACTAATTGTGTAAGACGAGGTCATGATGAATAGCCTAGACTAGCCTAGGCTAATGACCTGTACGTCAATAGCTTATCCTGGAGTAGAGGAGGCGTCCAGGACGGGGTACACCTCGGCACCGAGGAAAGGCTCATCTCGGAACCGAGGGAGGTATACCGACCGAGGTACCATATCAGACCGAGGCTACCTGTTGGTTGTAAAACGTACTGAATGCCATGATCCTATATGATGAGTACCTCGGGGGCGAGGACCTTTGTGCGCCGATGGTGATTGATCTTACCAACAGTGTTTTGGTAATACCGAGGACACGTGTCTTCATCATGGAGCGTTTCAAAAAAGTCCCATCAACTGCCCCCCAGCCTTCGATCTTATGACACCGAGGGCACGCGTCGTAAGGAGACGAAGGGTTTCCCAACAACCACCAATGCTTCATCATTGCCTTGAGTCGTTTTCCCCGGCTTGGGATGTCGTGTGCATTAAATGTGCCGTTTCGTTTTTTGCGCCCAATGATGAAACAACCACTATATAAATGGGGCTCCTCTTCCATTTTCTTGTTTTGCCATTCCGAACTTCCTTAAGAGAGCCTTTTCCTGAATCTTCGCCGGAGATCTCTTTCCTCTTCCATCGTCAACTGCCCATTCTTCCTTAAAGTCCTAAGGCCAGCAGACCCATCGTTTCTTTTGAACTTTCTGGAAGGAGTCGCTTTAAAGTTTTCCAGAAAAAACTCCGTTTGACATTCGGGTGAGTTCTAGTATCTTTCTTCTTTTCTTCCTCCTATCTCTTTTTGTTTTCCGATGACTAGAGGTGTCTCCGGTTGATACTTAGCGACTAATCCTCGAGAAGCTTCCTCAGGGATTTTTAAGAAAAAACACCCTCCACTTTCTCACTTTCTTAGAGATGTCTCGTCGTCGCCCTGCTCCCGAGAATCCTCAGGCTGGTTCTTCGGGGTCGGGGAAGTACAAGGTAAAGGGTGGTGAGCAGATTAATAGGTTTAAGGTCAAGTACGGCATTCCCCCGTGCGTAGACATAGAGGATTATGACTCGGTGGTGCACCTTCCTACCCTCGGGGCCGAGGATGCTATGCCATTTTATACCAAGGTCATAATAGAGGGAGGAATTAGGTTTCCTTTACCCCCTTTACTTCTCCAGTTCCTCTCTTACTTCCGCCTCTTCCCCGGGCAGTGTTGTCTTAATGTCTTCAGAATAATTATGGGGGTCTTAGAGCTCAATAGGCGCCTCGGGGTAAATATTGGGCTGAACGATCTCCTTTTTTGTTATTCCCTCTTGAGAGTCATGCCTCACCAACACTTCTACCTCAAAGCTAGGGACCCCTCCATGTACCTTGTAACTCATCTTCCCGACTCGGACAAGGGGTACAAGGACGATATTCTTATTTTCAAGGGATCTTGGCAGAGAGGTTTTGGCCCTGAGTATAACGGCTTGTTATGCCCTCTGGAATGGAGAACGACAAGTACGTCGATTCCTTCGGGTTTATTATTTTGTTCTCTAGACTTCCGATGCTCATGACTACTTTTTTGTTTGTGCAGATATCTCTGCTCGGGAAACAGCTCCTCCCCTTGGTCGCTGGTGAACTTTGCCGACCTAGTCACGGTTTGGAGATTTATTGGTGACAACGGGTTCGGCCGGGCTGCCTACATCCTGCTGAATTACACCCCCGGGTATAAGAAATTTTCACAGCTTCCTCAGCCTTTTGAGCCTTCGCGGTGGTCTGAACTCTTCGATCAGGCGGCGAGGCAGGAGGTCGAGGAAAACTTGGAGGAAGACCCTGATCGGGCTTCGGAGGCAGAGGTAGAGGGAGTTGTTGAAGAGCTCGGGGTCAGAGAGGACGTTGTTCCTTCGGACGCCGAGGTGGGGACTTCAGGAGGAGACTTGTGGCCAGACTTCCAAGTCCTACAATCTCTAGACGCCGAGGACGCCCTCGAGGTCGCGATGTCCAGCACGCCTCGCATTGACCTGGGGTTCCTGAGGCAGAGGCAAGCCCTTGCTGTCGGGAGGGGTCGAGGATCGACCGACGGCGCCCCATCTGCAGGGACTAGTTCCACCCCATCCTCGAGGGTTCTTAGTCGGGGTCAAGTGCGTGACCGGGATCCTCAGGTAGAGGAGGAGAGAAGGGTCAAGCATAGGCACGATGGCCTCGACAGAGGATCCAGGGCATCTCCCGCTCAGCAGCAAAGCGGGAGAGGCCGTGGGTTACCCCCTGCTCCTCCGCAACAGCAGCAACAGCAACAACAGCAACAACAACGGCAGCAGCAGACTCTCCCTTCCCTTCCGCCGACAGTGGAAGCCGCGGAGTGGAACCCCCGAGCCACCGATCACATGAACCGAGTGATCAGGGTCGATGATTCCATTTTGCTGGACCCTCATGTCGCCAATGCAGTGAGTGAGACAATGCATTTTGAGGCTGACATGACGGCTCACAGGGCGCGATCAACGAACGTGCTGTTCCGCTCTATCATCCAGAATTCCCTGGTGGTAAGTTCATTTTTGCTTTGGTTTCTTCTCTCTCGCCTTCCATTTTTGTGATACACCTTTTTCCCTCCTTTGCAGGCTACCCAGCAGATCTCCATAATAGCTGCGCGGTACCATGGGTCTAGGATGGACCTCCAGCGGGTCCGAGAGCAGAAGGAAGAGGCGGAGGGGGCCCTCGCCCGAGCAATGGAGGACGTAGCTGCCAGGGATTCTACCCTGGCGGGGCAGGCTGCTCAAATTGAACAACTCCTCAAGGATGCCGAGTCGGCTAAGGTTGGCGCTGAAAAGCTAAGTGCTGCCCTTGCCGATGCTGAGGGGAGGATCACCGAGCAGACGCGGCGGCTTTCTGCCGCGGAGGAGAGGGCGGTTGGCTCAGAGGAAAGCTGTCTGGCTCTCACCCAGGAGCTGGACAGGATCAGAGCCGAGGCACTGAACAGAAAGTCGGAGGAGCAACTCCGAGAAGAGTTCGCCGATGACGTGCTCCCTGCTCTTGAGGAAAACAGCAAGGAGTTCTTCAAGAAAGGGTGGGACGAGGCGCTCCAGTCTGCTGGAATCCCGTCAGACTCCCTACTCTTCCAGATGCACAAGTACGTGCCCTCGGCAGAGATGGAACGGGCTGAAGCAGAGATTGCTGCCGAGGATGAGGTCCCAACGCCGGTGCAAGTCTCGGCGGATCCGCCCGAGGCAGTGATAGTGGACTTGTCCGAAGAGGCCCCGCCGGACCATGCCCCTGATCCTCATGTTGCTCAAGGTCTCTCTGTTGCCGAAGTACCTCTCCTTCTGCCTGCTCCAGAAGCTTCTCAACCTTTTTATGCTGACTCGCCCTCGGCTGATGTTGTGGAGATGCCTGGGGCCAGATGAAAGCCCATTTTTCTTTTTTCTTTTGTAGCCTTTGGGGACGCAAAGCCCCTCTTCTTGAAATAAATCATGAGTACTTCTTTCTTTTTTGCGTACAGTAGTGTTTTGTTTTTTTTTTTTTTTTTTTGAACTATCTTCTGGGCTGCTCGTCCATTCAAGAGGCACGCTCTTGTGTTTGCTTCGGGGACAAGAGTCGTTGAACTCTGTCCCCAGGGCCTTGCCCTTCCAGGAGGCTTGCTCCTGTATATGCTTCGGGGACAGGAGCCCTTGAACTCTATCCCCAGGGCCTTGCCATTCCAGGAGGCTTGCTCTTGTATATATTTCGAGGACAGGAGCTCTTGAACTCTGTCCCCAGGGCCTTGCCCTTCCAGGAGGCTTGCTCCTGTATATGTTTCGGGGACAGGAGCCCTTGAAATCTGTCCCCAGGGCCTTGCCCTTCCAGGAGGCTTGCTCCTGTATATGCTTCGGGGACAGGAGCCCTTGAACTCTGTCCCCAGGGCCTTGCCCTTTATCTTTGTCGTTGACAAGCACTTGAGGGAGAGAATACTTCAAAAGTAATATTTCTTTAGATTCATAACATTCC